ATTTCTTTTTTTTTTTTAAGATTTTATTTATTTATTTGAGAGAGAGAATGAGAGAGAGAGAACACATGAGAGGGGATAGGGTCAGAGGATGAAGCAGACTCCCTGCCGAGCAGGGAGCCCGATGCGGGACTTGATCCCGGGACTCCAGGACCATGACCTGAGCCGAAGGCAGTCGCTTAACCAACTGAGCCACCCAGGCGCACTAGCCTATTAATTTCTTTAAAAGAAAAAATGTTAATTACCTTTATTTTTAAAAAATTTTTATTTTTTTTTTAACGAATTTTTTAAAAAGAAAAAAATGTTTGAACAGCCAACATATACACATAGGGAACTATAAATCACATTTCCGGCTTCCCTTGAAAAATCACTTCTGGTGGTTCTCGCCCCAACCAGGTGAAGATGTGCATGGTTGGATCTCACCTGGGGACAGTGCCCACCTGGCTGGCTTACTGCTTCCCGTACATCACCTACCTGGCCCTTGAAAGCATTGGAGTTTGAGACTCAGTCTAGATCACTGGTTCTCAACTGGGGGGGCAACTACATCTGGGGACATTTCTGGTTGTCACAACTGGGGTGTGCTACCAGCATCTAGGGGGTTGAGCCAGGGATGCTATGAAATATCCCAAAATGCATGTGATGGCCCCTACCACAGAGAATGATCTGGCCCTCACTGTCACTTGTGCAGAGATTGGGCAACACTGGTGCACAGAACTGATTCTCATCTGGGGAACTTAAAAAAAATACCATGCACAGCGATTCTGAGTTAAATGGAGGGGTGCTGCAGGAGCAAGAGGATTCTGAAAAGCTCCCCAGGCGAGTTTAATGTGGAAGTATACTTGAGAACCACTGGTCTGGAAGGTTCTTGGGATATCCAGGACTGTTATTCATTCATTCATTCAATCATGCAGTGGACATCCATTGCTTTCTTTTCTTGCATAGAGCTAGGGGTCCTGGAGGCGAGCCAGACCTTCTCCTCCCTGCCCTATTAAGGAGCTCCAGGTCTAATAAGGAGCTCCTACCTCTTTTAGTCCAACCCTTCTTAAATGTTATGCAGATTCTGATTCAGCGGGTCTTGAGGTGGGGGTGGGGGGCTGGCATTCTGCATTTCTTAACCAGCTAGCTCCCAGGGGCCATAGATGCTGTTAACCTGAGGACCACACTCAGAGCTCTGTCCTCATTCAGGATTCTCATGAAAGCCTGACCCAGAAAATGACTGCGTACCAGGAAACACATCTTCCCACGGCCTTACAAATAATTGCACTACCTTTCCCAAGTGCCTTAGAGCCTACTACTGACAAAGTTCTCAAAACATCTTTACAATAGCCCCGCAGAAGAGTTCAGGATTATGTTCCGACGCACCTATTTCATAGATGAGTGAGCTGAAGCTCATGGGGGCGTGGTAACCAGCCTGGTATTTAGTGGCAGAGGCAAAGCTGACTCCTAATTCAGAGATTTTTCCTAGAAGCCAGCTTGGCTGTCAGCTCCAAAGGTGTGCTACCTGTGCCGCTGCCCAGGACCCTGTGTTCGGAAGGGTCCCACATTCAGTTTAGCGCTCTGTTGTCACCATCTTGAAATTCTGACTTTCTTTAAATCTTTTTTTTTTTTTTTTTCTGAGAGAGAAAGAGCACAAGCAGTGGGAGTGGCAGGGGGAGGGAGAAGCAGGCTCCTCACAGAGCAGGGGGAGCCCGATGTAGGACTTGATCCCAGGACCCCGGGATCATGACCTGAGCTGAAGGCAGTCGCTTAACCAACTGAGCCACCCAGGCGCCCGAAATTCTGACTTTCTGAGTGAGGGGCCCTGCAGATTCTGTAGCTGGTCCTGCAGTCAGCACGTAGATTCTGAGAAGAAACCTTTGTAGAAACTCAGCAGGAACACCAAACTGGGTGGTGGTGGGGGGCTAATAGCTAAGTCCTACTCCTCCTTTTTCCAAAGGGAAGCAAGTACCCCAGAGCAATCGGAGTGAGTCCTGGGGTCTGGCAGACCTGGGTTTGAATCCCAAGGCTGTCATCTACCAGCCATGGGACCACAGGCTCGTTGCGTATGTAAATTAGCTTAGCCACTATTTCCTATTTCCCCAGTTACAAATGGAGGGGGTTTGAACTGGGCAGGCGTTTCTCAATCTTGACAGCATGCAGCAATCACTGGGGAGGGGAGCTTGAAACATGAGCATGCAGGGAGGGCCCTATCCCAGATATTCTGATTCAATTTGTCTGGAGTGGAGATGAGATGGGATTTAAGAGCCCCCAGGAGCCCCTAATAAGCAGCTAGGGTTGTGAACCACTGAACTTTCCCCACCTTCAGGAACCTTCAGGCACCTTCAGGCTCCAGTACCTCTAGAAATTCAGATGATTTATTTACTCTGGCAGAAATTTCTAGACCCCTCCTGCATGCTCCCAGCCAGCCTGAAGACCTCTTTCCTCCAGACACTTGTGTCCTATATCCCTACGAGGCTCCAGCCCTCCACAGTTTTAGATTTCTCAAGGTATGCTAGGTTCTGTACTTGCCCAGGGGACTGGCCTGAGCCACCAAAAATTCCTCCTGAACAGGAAATGCAGTCCTGTGCTCATGCTAAGACAATACAAAGCTTATTTTGCTTTGCAAAGTAACTGATCTGCAGAATAGCTTTTAAAGAATAGGCTCTCGCTTGTGGACGGGCAAAAATAAAATGGAACAAAAACACTTGGCAAGCAGAATATGATCCTATTTGCATAAAATCGTGCTTTACCATCTCTAACTACAGGGTTATAAACGCATAGGAGAGGTCTGGAAGGGTTGGCAATACGTCAACTGTAATGATCTCTTTTCCTTTCCATTTCTTTTAAAAACACAGAAGCACCTATTTTTATAATCTGAAAAAAAAAAAAAAAAAAAAAAAAGGTATTTCAGTCCTGAGAGGAGAATATAGAGGTAATTTACATCTAAGTGGGAGAAACGGTCACCAAGTTTCCGGATGATCGATCCCTTTTCTAAAGCTAAATTCTCTAGTCCCTTTCGTTTACTGGTATGCTATAATAGTTAACACGCTAGGAGATGAACAAGAAACATTCGGTGAGCCTTATCTAAAAATAGACCACATTCTAAGGAGGCTATTTACCATCATCTAAAAAAAAAAATGCTTAAAAAAAAAACAAACCAAGAAGCAGAGTCTTTCTTCCCTTCTGCGATTCTCCACGGGGGTCTGGAGCTGGCCGGGTAGGCTAACCCCAAATCACCCTGCCCTAGGGCAGATTCTGCTCAGTAAGTGGAAAGGATCCGCGCCACGGCTGGAAGAATTCCCGCCGGGCGCGGGAGACCCAGCTTCGCTCGGCCGGAGGAGGAGGGGAGACTGCCCGAGGGCCGCAGAGGAGGGGGGCACCGGTGTCACTTTCTCTGAACCGGATTACTGCCCCCAGCACGGCCGGCCCTTATATAGACACTCAACAGCCGCTCCGGCTCCGCGCGCCAAGGGCAAGGAGGGAGGTCACGGATGCGGGCGGCCAGGACATCTGGACTGACCTGCAGCACCGACCCCGCCTGCGCCCTCACCACGACCTATGCCGCTGGCCCAAGTTCATGCGACCCTGCCGGGAACCCTGACTTCTCTCCCAGCCTCCTCCCCAGCACCTGTTCCCCCTCCTCTATACAGTCGCATTCCTCTCCTGCCTTCCAGCTGCATCTGCTCCCCCTCCCCCAGCCCCACCATCCCGGGGGCTTCTCTCCTTGCCCGCCCTCTTGTCTTCCCCCCCTGCCCACTCCATGTGGAAGAACCGCACGATCCCGGCACCTGCTGCTCCCCCGAACGAGTCCCTGGGACTGTGCCCCCTTCATGATCCAGGGCTTCCCCCGCCTCGCGACCCGCAGGTTTACCTCCGCCCCCCGCGCCGCGATGCCAGCCCCCGCGGGCTGCTGGCTCTGGCTCACCTGGCTCATACTTGAGGTAGAGAATGGAGACGATGAAGTAGCTGAGGTCGAAGACGGGGAAGAGCGGCACCCGCGAGAAGCTGAGCGCCAGCTCGCCTAGGCTCAGCGCCGAGAGCAGGTCCATGGCGCCCGCCGGGTCCCACCCCAGCCCCCAGCCCAGTACGTCCTGCAGCCCGCGGCCCGGCGACTGCGCCCCCGCTGCAGGACCCGCCCCCGCCCGCCAGGCACCGCCCCCAACCCGGCCCCCACTGGAGAGGAGGGACGACCGCCTGCCCCGGGGCGGGTCGTGGGGCCGTCCTGTCCCATAAAGCCCAGCAGGTGTCCCATACTCCGTCCCTTCGGGCCATCACGACCCCCTTCAGCCCAGCGAGGCGGGGTGTAGGGGTCCCTGTGGTGTGAGTTGGACAGGGTAGCTGGCCACTGGGGGGTCCTTCCCGCACGGAGCTCACCCAGAAGGGACGGGTCAGTCAGGACCCTGTCCCGGTGGGACTCAATTAGTCCTCTGGAGCCCTTGGATCGGGACCTGCATCCTCTGTGGGTCTTGTCCAGTTGTGAACCCCATCTTCCCGTGCCCTAGAGGGTCAAGACCCCCGTCCTCTATGGAGCTGTCATGACCCTAGTCCTCTGTGGGGCTCTGTAAGTCAGGACCTCCATTCACCACCGGGATCCCTGTTTTCCGAAGGGACAGCTCGGTCAGACCTCCGCCCCTCGTAGCTCCAGCCTAGTGGGGATCCCTGCCTTCCATTGGGCCCAGGAGGAACCTCCTCCTCGCGGGAATCCATGCCCGGGAGAGGCCACTGCATCAGGGCCCATTCCCCTGTGCAGCTCAGTGGCCAAGGAGCCAGCTTCCTTCCGAACCTGCGTGGGAGACCCGAGCCAAGAAAGAAAAGCCACCGCTCTAACTCTCCAGCGCGTAGGGGCCTCACGCCTGCGCGGCACGCCTCCAGTGCGTAACCCAATCTCGCCCCGGATGACTCCGCTCCCGGGTGACGTCACACTCTCGCCCCGCCCCTTCTTCGCTACCCTCCGGCCTCCCCAGCGAGAAGAGGCGCTCGCTCTTTCCTAAAGGGGCCTGGCCTGCAGAGGGCGGGACCCTGCCTGCCTTGGCCTTCGATTGGACCAGCCCTCGCCAGCGCGGCTTCGAGATTGGTCGGCTCGTGCTCTTCTCTCCTCCCCCTCCAGGATTTCCGCTTCCGGTTCTGACGGACGCTTCGGCCGAAAAGATGATCGGGGACATCCTGCTGTTTGGGTAATTAGGGGGGCCAGAGGCTGGGGTAAGAAGGGTGAAAGGGACGAGGGGCGGCCCAGGTAACCTCATTCTCCCTTCGCAGGACGCTGCTGATGAACGCAGGGGCAGTGCTCAACTTTAAGCTGTGAGTAGGCCGCTTTCGATCGCGGCTCCACCCAGGGGGCCCGTAGGCCCGCCCCCGCGAGCGTGAGCCCGCCCCATGCCGTAGGCCACGCCCCCAAGCCCCAGCCCTCCCTCTGGCCACGCCTCCAGCCTCGTCCATCCTCCTGTGACCCTTCGCTCCAAGGTGGTTTGAAATACAGACTCCCGTTTCCCGGGGATCTCTCTTCTCGCATCCCGGAGAGCCTCCGGCCCGTCCCCTACAAAATTCTTAGCCCTATTCTGTACCCACGGACCAACTCTCCCCTTGGTGGCTGTAGGTCTGTGATTGGCAGGTAGATGATGGTCCAGAAAGGGGCGTTGAACCACCCGAGGTCACACAGCAACTCACCTGCAAGGCTAGAGCTGAAACTGAGTGTCCGAGGCCCTCTGAGCTGGGGTCAGGGCCAGGGGATCGAGTGGTCTTTATGTCCCACCAAAAGTGGACATTGTCTGTTCCTCTTTGTAGGAAAAAGAAGGACACGCAGGGCTTTGGGGAGGAGTCGAGGGAGCCCAGCACAGGTAAGGCCTCCTTTCTGGAGTCTGAAATTGGTCCATTTCAGAGAGGACAATTTTTTCTCACCAAGCCCTACCTTAGTTTTCTTTTCAATAGTTGTGTGTGTGTGTGTGTGTGTGTGTGTGATTGTGAGAGGGAGAGAGGGAGAAATGGGCCTGAAGATTTTCTGTTCCTTCTGCTCACCTCTGTCACCCACTTCTTTCTCCGGGTCAAATCTCCCTGCGTACGTCACCACTCATAAAACTTTCTACAGTCATGATTGTCCTTTATGAATGTTATCCTCTGGCTAATATTCGTCCCTCATACTTGCTCTTGCTTGTTTTGGCCCATTCCTGTGCCCTTGTGGTGCCCGACCTCCAGCATGAATGAATGAATGAACAAGTAGCCATCGCTTTCAGAGTGCTGCAGACGTATTTTAATTAGATGCCAACATTAGCTTTCAAATAAATCAGATGTCACATAAAAATTCAGATGTCTGATTTATCAAGAAAAATCTGAACATCCTATAGCTCAGGTTCCGGCAACCTCTTGGCACCTACTGGATGAAATTGAGAAAAACAGGACCCTGTTGAGGCAGGGCCTGTGGCCTCTGCCTCATCCCAGGCCCAATCCCCTCATCTTTATATCATCTCACCTGTCCTGGGGGCCCTGGAATTTATTCATCTGACTATTTGAAACCTAATGAGACCTACACATGACTTCTATGTCCATGCATCATTCACCAAGCATTTATTGAGCACCTGCCACATGGCGACCACTGTCCTGGATTCTGGGGACACAGCAGAGAACAAGACAGATGAAATTCCTACCTTGTGGGTTGTACTGCTCTGGGGTGGGACAAGCAGTTCCTAAACAAGGAACAGATGGTGACGGAGGTGATGAGAGGTGAGGAGAGGGATGCTGCAGTGTGTGGAGGGAAGGACCCCTGAGCTGGTGGCGTTGGCAGCCAAGGTGGTGGGTGCCGTGATGGAGCGTTGCATGGGAATGATAGGAACCCCGAGGAGCAGTGAATTTGATGACGATCGGACCACTCCCTTTTATTGGGGGCCCATCTGGTAGCGGCTGCTTTGTTAGATGCTTCCTGTGGGTGTGTTACTCTGCCTCCATCCCTGAAAGGTAAAGGGCATTTTCCCATTTTACAGACAAGGAAACTGAGGTTCAGGGCTGTGGCTTGACTTGCTTGTGGCCATGTAGGAAATCAGTGACAGCATCCTGGTTGAACCTGAGTTTTTCTGACCCCACAGGCTGTCCCCTCAGTCACTAAACCATCCATCCATTCATTCATATGTTCATTCAGCAGCTGTATGTGTCTCTTACCTGCTCTGTGGAAGGTACTGTACCGACTCCTGGGGCTGTAGTCTAGAGATCTAAATTGGAGCTGGTGGGGGGGGGGTGGGAGAGTAGAAGGGCTTGGTGGCGGTGAGAGTCAGTGACAAGGACAGTCACAACAGTGGCTTCCCTCTGACCAGGGGCTCTCTGCACGTCTCCTTCCAGCCAGTATTCTGTTCTTACTGCTGCCACTGCAGAGAATGCCTTTCTCCCTGTGCCCAGCTGACTCCTTATACCGCAGTGGCTGCATCTGTTGAGAGCTGTCTGTGCCAGGCACTGTGCTGAGGTCTTCCTAGTTGCTGTCACCCCCATTTACACAGGAGGAAACTGGGGCATATGTAGGCCGGCGACTGAGCAAGGTCACCTGTGTGGAAGGGCAGTAAACTCCTGCCCATGTTTAAGGTCGGAGCTTATGTGCTTCCTCAAAGGTTTCTGACCCCCGCTCCCTGACAAGGGCTAGGTTGGCATCCCCCCATTGTATGCTCCCATGGCACTGGCCATGGTGAATAATCAGGTGTGTGATTACTTTTTTAGTATTTGTCCTGTGTGTGAGCTTCTGAGGGCAGGGATATCTGTCTTGGTCCTCCCTCTATCCCCTGCACTTGGCTGTTGCCTGGAACAAATGGCCTTCACTTAGCATCTGTTGATGGCAGGAAAGCCTGTTTTTGTGATGCTGGGCCCAGAGAAGGGCTTCGTCAAGCAGCGCCTCTCAAACATCCTGGGGCTGGACCTGTGTTTGACATTTGCAGTCTGGGCTGGGCTGCACGTGGCTCTCCCAGTGGGTTGGATGATAGCAGACTCGTCTAAACTGTGTTCAGCAAGACTGTGTGTGCTCATCATGTCCCTAGATGGTGCAGCGGCGCCAGGTGTAACTTTCTGAGCTCCTGCCTGGTATTCTGTACTTATGGGACAGCCCTGGTCTATAGATGACGCTTTGGTTAGCACCCTTGTAGATTACCCCAAGTGGACCCATTTATTCCATTCTGGAGGATTAGAGAGGTGAGCAACTTAAAACCCTGGAGGAAGGTTCTGGAACCCATACCTCTGGAGTCTTAACGTACCAAGTTGCTTCCTCTTGGAACGGGTTTTGTTCTGCGGCATCAGGGGACTAGAGTAAGTCACCATCAAAGCAGAACCCCCTTTTTACTTGCCTGAATTAGTATGCTTTTTCAGGTGCCAACACTGAAAACCCAGCCCAAAGTGATTGGAACAAATGGAAACCTCCAAGGGTGGAACTGTTTTGGGGCATACCCACCCTCAGGGCTCAAACCAGCCCTCCTGTGTGTGACCCTCTCCAGCTCTCTTTTTCCATCTAGGTTGGTTTTACTGTCAGGCTGGCTTGTGTTGACAAAAGATGACCCTAGAACAGGGCTGGGCCCAGTGTTCTGTAAAGTGTCAGATCGTAAACATTTTTGGCTTTGTGGGTCATACATTGCCTGGTGCAGCATGTCCGCTCTGTTCCTTGAAAGCAGTTGTGGGAAATACAGGCATACCTTGTTTTATTGTGCTTTTTTTACTGTGCTTTGCAGATACTGTTATTTTTACAAACTGAAGGTTTCTGGCAACCCTGTGCGAGCAGGTCTGGGGGACCATTTTTCCAACAGCTTTTGCCCACTTCGTGTCTCTGTGTCACATTTTGGTAATTCTCGCAGTTTTTCAAACTTTTTCATTATTGTTGTATTTGTTCTCGTGATCTGTGATCAGTGATTACGATGTGCTGAAAGCTCAGATGATGGTTAGTGTTTGTTAGTGATATACGTGTATATTTTTAAGATTTTATTTATTTGGGGCGCCTGGGTGGCTCAGTCGTTAAGCGTCTGCCTTCGGCTCAGGTCATGATCCCAGGGTCCTGGGATCAAGCCCCACATTGGGCTTGATAAATAAATAAATAAATAAATAAATAAATAAATAAATAAATAAATAAATAAATAAAATCTTTAAAAAAAAAGAAAAGTATTTAAAAAAAAAAAGATTTTATTTATTTGACAGAGACACAGCGAGAGAGGGAACACAAGCAGGGGGAATGGGAGAGGGAGAAGCAGGCTTCCCGTTGAGCAGGCAGCCCAATGTGGGACTTGATCCCAGGACCCTGGGACCATGACCTGAGCCGAAGGCAGACGCTTAACGACTGAGCCACCCAGGTGCCCCGTTAGTGATGTTTTTATAATTCATGTATTGACATTATTTTTTAGATATAATGCTAGTGCACACTTAATAGACTATAGTGTAGTGTAAACATAACTTTTATAGGCAGTGGGAGACCAAAACATTCATTTGACTTGCTTTACTGCAGTAGTTTGGAACCGAACCCACAATATTTCCAAGGTATGCCTGTATATACATGAGCGGGCATGTGTATTTTGATAAAACTTTATTCATAGACACTGAAATGTGAATTTCATGTAATTTCTGTGTCTCGCAAGATACTCTGTTGATTTTCTTTTTAGCCATTAAAAAGTCTTAAAGACATTCTTAGCTTATGGGCCATACAGAAACAGGTGGTAGGGGTTGGCTTTGGCCCATGGGCCATAGTTGGCCAACCCCTGCCCTAAAGGACTGGGTTTATGTCTTCCTAGCCCAGAAAGGCTGACAGAAAGCAAGTGCCTCTTTCCCAGTAGTTGGGATGAAAGTTCCAGGCCTGACTCTCATTGGGCAGACTGACCAAAGTCCCAGGGCTGACTCTCAATGGGCAGACTTGGGTCACGTGCCCCTCCCTGAGCCAATCAGAGGCTGAGGGCTTTTAGGGGTTGGTCAGTGGCAGCTATTGCCAGAGTGCCAAGGGTCGGGGAGCAGAGGCGACCCACAGGAAAACCTGTGCTGCCCCCGGAACGTGGGGCGGTGGGATTGGGGCTGGTGGAAACTGAAGAAGCGCACTGCGGTCGCGACAACAGAAATGTCAGCAGTGCTTATAAAAACGCGTTCTGACTTTCCAGGTGACAACATCCGGGAGTTCTTACTGAGCCTCAGATACTTCCGGATCTTCATCGCCCTGTGGAATGTCTTCATGATGTTCTGCATGATCGTGTAAGTCCGGCCTGCCTGTTCCCTTCATTGTCCAGAATGACCCACCGGATGCTCACCCTCTGTCTGTCGTCTCTCTGCGCTTCCGCGTCACGCTTTCTGCTTTCAAAATAAGAACTCTCCCAAGCTAGAGAGGGAAGCAGGGTCTACAAAGGTTAAACTGTGTCACTGTGGTCTAGGCTGGAGCTTTGACTGGGACACAGTGTTCTCCAAGTCCTGGCTGTTCCTGGTGCCGTAGCAGAGGCTGCCAAGAGATGCCTTCCCTCGAGCCCATGGCCCTGTTAACCTCTTGCCTGCTCTGCCCTGTTTAGCCTGTACTCGATGTCTGCCAGGGTGGACAATGTGGCTTATTTGGTAGCGTGCTGCCGAGCCCTGCTTGTCTCCTGCCGGTAGCCCTCAGAAGTGTATTCAGACTTCTTTCTATTTTCATGCCTATTTTTCATTTCCTCGTTAGGCTTAAAAAAATCTAATCGGATTGGTTTTCCTTCCAGCATTGGGGGCCTTAATTTTGTTTTTTTTCTTTTAAGATTTTATTTATTTGTCAGAGAGAGAGAGTTAGTGAGAGCAGGAACACAAGCAGGGGGAGTGGGAGAGGGAGAAGCAGGCTGCCCGCCGAGCAAGGAGCGGGGCCTTAATTTTGATGCCGCTGCTGATGAATTGTGAGACTCCTTAGTAAACCGGCTCAGGGAAAAAAACCGTAGGAGAATCTGGTGTGCTATCATCTGGGCTCATCATGCTGGGCTGGTCCCATTCTTCCCCCTAAAGAGGAGGAGAATGAAAAGTCGGCTCTCCTGAGTAATTGGGATGCTGCATTTGGGGTTGCTGGGTGGTCCTTGTGCCAGCCCCATGGCTGTTAGAGGGGATGATTCCAGGACTCAGGAGATGGGGGGAGGAGGAGTTTCACTGTGCCACTGGAAAGTGTTTAAGAGCCCAGAACGAGGACCGTGGTGTGTGCCCAGAGAAGCCCTTTTTGGGAGCTTGGATGAGGCCTGTGCAGGTACAAAGAGGGCTGGTGAAGAGATCAGGGAGTTTGCAGAAGAGGATAGGGAATGTAACTAGGATTCACAGGAAGTAGAATGCGTTGGTCTTTCCAGGTTCGCACCTGTCCTTTCCTTCCTTCATTTATTGATTTACAACTATCCAGTGTGGGCTGCACCTTGGGCTTATAGCTGAGACGAGGACAGCCTTCGTCCTTGCCATTAGCGAAGGGATAGTATGGCAGTTGGGACAGGGACAGAAAAACAAATAAATAGGGAAGAATCACTCATGAGGCAAATGGGAGGCTCTCAGTTTAGGCGATGGTCGGGAAGAGGCCCACAGAGAAGTGCTATTTAAATCAAAACCTAAAGAACGGGAGGAAGCCTTGCCATTTGCAGAGCTAAAGGGAGGCATGGTAGCACGTGCAAAGGTCCTGGGGCAGGGAAGAACTCTGTTTTCATCATTCTGTTCTGCTCATCGGCTGCATTCATCCTGTCGTCCAGCTAGCTCCCTTTACGGCTCATTTGCTGGCCTGTGACCAAGATGGTCACCTTAGGCTCTGTGACCTCCTAGCTCAGCTCAAGGCTCTCTTTGTAGCCTGGTATCCTGATTTTGCTTCCTGGGAGCGGAGCCTGCTTGACCTAGCTAGGTGTGACCCAGGTCCAGTTAGATGGGGGTTATCCTGATTCCAGCATAATCATTGAGGTTGAGTCAGCAAACCACAGCCCGTGGGCCATATCTATCTGTTTCCTGTTTTCATGCATGAAGTTTTATTGTCGTGCAGCCACACCCATTTCTGTAACTGCATTTGCACTATAGCAGAGGGGTTCGAAGCCCTATGACAGAAACTGCCTGGCATGCAAAGCCCAGACTACTTACTATGTGGCTTTTTTGCCAACCCCTAACCTGGGCCACTTCTTTCAGTAGGCGCCACGAGTGAGGGAAGATCCTCTTCAGGAAGGACTCTGTCAGGGAGGTAGTGACTGGCTTTCCCAGGGTATTAAAAAAACTGGAAATCACCTAAATGTCCAAGAACTGGGGAGGAGTCAGGTAACTCAAAAGGACGCCCATATGAGCTGCTGTCAAGGCTTCATTGCTGATGAGGTGCTGCAAGTTCTGTCTACACAGGGGAGTGTTTCGAAAGCAAAGAAGGCTGGATGTCACTTACATGCGCATTCCAGCCTCGGCTGTGATTTGCATGCAGTAAGCACTGAATAAATGCCCGAAGTCTGTGGGGAAAACACTTCCACCCAGGGAGTTGGAAGGATCTGCTCCAGGCTGTCCACAGAGGTGACCATGCTTGGATTGCTGAGGAGATTAACAGGGCCTGAGGGGATGGCTTGCAGTTCCCCTGTACCCATTTTTATATTGCTTGAGCTGAGCTACTTGGGAAATTTTTTTAAAAAGTCATGAAAAACCTGAAATATGGAGAGAAACGTGCCCGAGTGTTTAGGGGGACCGAATATTGATATCTGCATCTTAACTATGAAACATATCAAAAATAAGATAGATGAATAATTGGGTAGGTGCACTGTAAAGCAAAGTTATTTATTTATTATTTATTTGAGAGCGAGGAGGGGGAGAGAGCATGAGCAGGGGGAGGAGCAGAGGGAGAAGCAGACTCCCTGCTGAGCAGGGAGCTCAATGCAGGACTCGATCCCAGGGCCCTGGGATCATGACCTGAGCCAAAGGCAGATGTTTAACCGACTGAGCCACCCAGGCGCCCCAAGCTTTTTGTTGTTGTTGTTTTTTAATTAGAGAGCGTGTGTGCGTGCAAGGGGAGGGGCAGAGGGAAAGGGAGAGAGAGAATCCCAAGCAGCCTCCCTGCTGAGCCCAGAGCTTGATGTGGGGCTCGATCCCACCACCCTGAGATCATGACCTGAGCTGAAATCAAGAGTCGGAGAGGTTCAACTGACTGAGCCACCCAGGCCCCCATGTAAAGCAAAGTGTTAATTGTAGAACGGAGGTGGTATATATGCGGTGTTCACTGAACTGTTCTTTTAACTCTTCTGTATGTTAAAATCTTCATAATAAAATACTGGGTGGGAAGATACGGAGAAAATGAGGGTATGAAATCATGGAGAAGGATTAATAAGTAAAAAAGTGGCAGTCAGTCTTCACAGTTCATTATTTTGTAGTATATTCACAGGGTTGTGAAACCACCACCGCAGTGCAGTTCTAGAACATTTTCATCACCCCAAAGGGAAACCTCATACCCATTAAGCAGTGACTGCCTCTTCTTCCCTCCAGCCTCTGGTAATCACTTACCTACTTTCTGTCATTATGGATTTGCTAGTTGTGGATATTTCCTGTAAACGGAATCGTAACAACATATGGCCCCTTTTGTGTCCTGCTTCTTTCACGCAGCGTGATGTCTTAGACGTTCCAGCGTGTTGTAGTGTGTGTCTGCACTCCATTCCTCTCTGTGCCTGAAGAATAGTCCATTGTATGTCTTTACCGCAGCTTGTTTATCCGCTCATCAGTTGATGGCTATCTGGAATGTTTCCATTTTGGGCCTGTTTATGAAGATTGCTGACACAAACACTGGTGTTCGAGTTTTTGTGTAGACAGACTTAAGTTTTCGGTTCTCTCTGGTATATATGCAGGAGTGAAATTGCTGGGTCATATGGTAACTCTATATTTATCCGTTTGAGGTTCTGCCAGACTATTTTTTAAAAGTAGCTGCAGCAATTTGCCTTCCCACCAGTAGTGAAGGATGGTTCCAATTTCCCCCACATCCTTGCCAATGCTTGTTATTGTCACTCTTTTTGATTAGAGCCATCCTAGTGGATGTGAAGGTTGATTAGCATTTCCCCAGTGGTTAGTGACATTGAGCCTCTTTTCATGTGCTTCTTGGTCATTTGTATGTCCTCTTTGGAAAAATATCTATTTAGGTCCTTTGTCCAGTTTTTAATTGGGTAATAACTAAGTTATAAGAATTCTTTTTATAGTCTAGAAACCAGTCTCTTATCAGATACATGATTTTCAAGTATTTTCTCCCGTTCTCTCGGTTTTCTTTTCACTTTCTTGATGGTGTCCTTTGAAGCACAAAAAAATTTAATTTTGATAAAGTCCAGTCTATCTGTTTCTCCTTTTGTTGCTTGTGCTTTTTTTTTTTTTTAAAGATTTTATTTATTTATATGAGAGAGAGAGTGAGAGAGAGAGCATGAGAGGGAGGAGGGTCAGAGGGAGAAGCAGACTCCCTGCCGAGCCGGGAGCCCGATGCGGGACTCAATCCAGGGACTCGATCCAGGGACTCCAGGATCATGACCTGAGCCGAAGGCAGTCGCTCAACCAACTGAGCCACCCAGGCGCCCGTGTTGCTTGTGCTTTTTGTGTTGTAGCTAAAAATCATTGCCCAACCCAAGGTCACGAAGATTGAGGCCTAAGTTTTCTTTCTTTCTTTTTTTTAAATTTGTTTATTTAATTGACAGAGACAGTGAGGGAACACAAGGAGGGGGAATGGGAGAGGGAGAAGCAGGTTTCCCGCCCGATGCGGGGCTCGATCTCAGGACCCTGGGATCATGACCTGAGCTGAAGGCAGTCGCTTAACCAACTGAGCCACCCAGGCACCCCCTAAGTTTTCTTTTAAGAGTTTTATAGTTTTAATTTTTTTTTTTTTAAAGATTTTATTTATTTATTTGACACAGAGAGACAGCGAGAGAGGGAACACAAGCAGGGGGCGTGGGAGAGGGAGAAGCAGGCTTCCCGCGGAGCAGGGAGCCCGATGTGGGGCTCGATCCCAGGACCCTGGGATCATGACCTGAGCCGAAGGCAGATGCTTAACAACTGAGCCACCCAGGCGCCCCTATAGTTTTAATTTTAATAGTTAGGTCTATTACCCACTTTGAGGTAAATTTTGCATATAGTGTGAGGTAGGGATCCAGCTTCATTCTTTTGCATGTGGTGATCCTGCACCATCTGTTCTTTTTTCAAAAAGCCTTTTTTATCTTGGAAAGAGTTTAGCTTTATAGAAATGTTGCAAAGATAACAGAGTTCCCATATATGTATCTTTTTAACAGTTCTGTGGTTTTCCCCTGTAGATCTCTGTCGCAACTACCTTCCTGTTCTCAACTTCATGGGTTTTTATACAGTTCCCAGGCCTTTCCCATTCAGATTTTCTTCAATGAACAGAGTTAACTGTAATCATTTGTATGATTGACTTGCAGTAATAAAGAATGGGCTGAAATAAAATGTTACAGATTCTGATGAAGCAGATACTTTCTTAAATAGCTTTTTTCTTTTTAAAATGTACTGTTTGGGGGTGCCCAGGTAGCTCAATCAGTTAAGTGTCTTGACTCTTGCTATCAGCTCAGGTCTTGATCTCAGGGTCATGAGTTCAAGCCCCGCATTGGGCTCCATGCTGGGCGTGGAGCCTACTTAAAAAAATAAAATAAAATGTATTGTTTGGTAGCATTAAGTATAGTCATGTTGTGTAACAGAAGAGCTACTTACAAAGCTGTAAGTAATATAAAATAATCTTAATAATAGTAACAGAAAATATTTTCTGAAAGTGTTTTCTGAGCTATATAGCTTTACATCCTTCCCATCCTCACGGACATCTCTGCCCTCTGACTTTTCCAGGCTGTTTGGCTCCTGAGCCCCAGATACACACCTTCCTGGGAACCAGGAACCAGGAACCATCTTCCCAGATGCCGAGTCTCCCTTTCTCCGTTCCTGACGACTTCAAGAATGGTTTTGACCGGAAAACAAGCGACCTTCCCAGAAAGCCCAAGTTCTTGGTGGGTGGAAAAAATGTTCGCCAAGCTGCACACGGCTTCCCAGCCACGTCATTGTTTTCTTTTGAAAGATATTTTCACTTTGGTCTCTGCGTTGAAATGCTGTCTACTTAAGGAGTTTTAGGAGGCTTTATGGAAGGGATGTGATAACATTGCATTCCCCGCAGATAAAAGAACGTTGTGTAGATTGTTTTTTTAGATTGGAATTCGTCTTCTAGCAAGCTTGTACTAGAAACTCATTTCTGGATATTTCTTGGTTTATTTTTAATAACCCTCCTTTTTGGTTCAAATTACACAGATTTTTCAAAATAATGTTTTATCCAGGGATCTGAAACAGAAAGGTGCGCTTTTAAGATTGATGCAGCCTCTTTATTGGACTGTGTTTAGGAATAACAAGCAAGTTCATTGTTGCTGGGCCTGTGTCCATATTCCTTTCCTGTCTCGATGGGCTCTGCTCGGCCACTCGGTGCCTCTGAGGTCATCCTCAGGACTTTAAGGGTGAAGCCTTACTGATTCCCGTGGAAGAGAGGTACAGAACAGTTGGCAGGGGCAGATGTGGGTGTTATGAGAAATTTTGCCCTGTCTTACAGCCCTCTGTTAAAGTAACTCTTGGGGCCATTAAATGTATAGTTTCAAGAATGAGAGTGACTTGCGTGGTGATACTGGGACCCAGTTCTGAAAGCTTGGAATTTTGGGTCTTCTTTTCAAGTGGGTGATTTCAAGGTTGAAAAGCAGTGAGCCTCATTCAAGGAAATACAGCATTTTGCATAGAATCTTCTTTGAAAGGCAGGTCCTTTATCGCCAAAATGAAATGCCAGTGGTCCACACCCAGATCCTACAGGTGTTTGATCTGTTTGTTGTGGGTTTTGAATTCCTGATTTGGAGGTAAACCTGGTGGGAGGAAAAAAGTAAATATGCAGACTTTTCAGAACTAAGTAGCACTGAAAATAAAGCTCATTTCTAAAAAGGATCTTTTGTTTATACATTTTTTTTTTTTAAAGATTTTGTTTATTTATTTGAGAGAGAGAGAATGAGAGAGAGCACATGAGATGGGGGAGGGTCAGAGGGAGAAGCAGACTCCCCGCTGAGCAGGGAGCCTGATGCGGGACTCATCCAGGGACTCCAGGATCATGACCTGAGCCGAAGGCAGTCGCTTTAACCAACTGAGCCACCCAGGAGCCCTGTTTATACATTTTTTTAACCAAGAAGTTAGCTGACTTCCAACTGGAATTGTTTTGAATTACACTGTGGGAAACACCAAGGATTCATTTTGGAGGCTGTCAAAAAGTCAGAAGAGAAGCAGTGTTAGATTTCCCGTTTTGGATTTTCCTTAATACATGTCAGGCTGGAATTGGGCAAATGGGCTTTTGACCTGGCTGCTTTGGGAAGTATTGAAAGAGCCAAGGAGAATATTGGGGTTTTGCTAGACCAGGGTCAAATCCACTTTTACTGCTGCGTAACTGACGTCATTCTCCTTCACTGCTTCTATAATTTATTCCCTTGTCAAACCCAGGCCTATAGTTTGTCAGTAGCCGGGAACGTAGCTGCTGAGTCGAGCTTCGCACAGGCTTGTGTCCTTGTCAGCAAGAACAGACGTGTGGAGATCTTGGCTAGTCACTCCTCAAGCCATGTCAGTGGTTCGAGGAAACCTCGCTGCCTTATTCAGACTGGTGCTGAGGTTTCAATGAGGCGAGGCATTCGTACGTTATGGGGATGAATCATGCTCTGAGAAGAGAATGCTGTCATTGAGATTTTGTTTCAATAGTTGTATTTTTTTCCAGAGAACTATTACCTCATTGTTAAACTCTCTGCCAACAGTGTAGCTTCGGAGGCTAATGTCCATTTTAAAAGTTACATCTCACCGATGTGCATCTTTAGGAAGCTTTTCAAGAACCCTCATTAACATCAAAGGTTATCGAAGTTTGAGTTTTGGGTGCCTAGGGTTCCCCAGCATTTAATCGCTTATGTTCTGTGCCAGTGGGTTCAAGTCCCGTCTCTGCTCCTTGCCAGTGGGACCTTGGCTGCTTGCTTTTCCACTCCCTGCCTCAGTTTCCAGTCGCCAAAATGGGTTTGGAAGTCCCACCTGCCTGGGTTTGTTGTGAGGCTCAGCATGCTCAAATGTGGGCCGAGTGCTTGACCGAGTGCTCAAACCTGGGTGTGCTCACTGCTAGCATCTTCTCTACTCTTGCCTGCATTCGTGCGTGCGGTCTGCACACACACCGTGAAAGAGAGATGTTTAAAAACACTAGAAACAGTTTTCCAGCATGGAAAACCTTTTCCCGCCTTCCTCTTTCCTTTCCAGCCTTTTCCTTATAGGTATCAGTATACAGGCATACTTTGGAGATACTGCGGGCCCAGGTCCAGACCCACTAAAGCGAATATTGCAATAAAGCAAGTTGAAGGAGTGTTTTGGCTTCCGGGCGCATATAAAAGTTACGTTTCCCCTGCATTGTGGAAGTGGGCCGTAGCATCACGTCTAAAAAACTGGCGTGTGTGCCTTAATTAAAAAATACTTGATCGCCAACAAATGCTAGTCGTCATCTGAGCTTTCAGTGAGTCAGAATCCCTGATCACAGATCACCAAAGCAAATACAGTAACGATGACAAAGTTTGAAATACGGTGAGAATTACCGAAATGTGACACAGAGATACAAAGTGATCAGATGCTCTCGGGAAAATGGCGCCAGGATACTGGTTTTGCCGCAAACCTTGGGTTTCTAGAAAACACGATGTCTGCAGAGTGCAGTCAAATGAGGTCTGCCTGGATGCGACATAGTTCGATCGTGGTTAAGGCGGCTTAGGTTCTGCTGTGTTCATTTTGGCAGCATTTCCTTCATATCTTCCGGGCTGCCAGACAGACAGGCTTCATGGTGTTGGGTTTTAATTACAGCACTGTGTCAGTAGATCTCTCTTTAACCCTGGCCCTCTTGCTGGTCCTCTCGTGTGTGCCTCGAACTTGTACTTTGCTCAGTGTTATAAAGGCCACCGCGATCCCCATTGTTGTGACCTTTGTTGGCTTCCTTCACTGGTGCTTCTGCAGAACCTAGGAAGGCCACATCGGTATGTACCATCATTGTAGCTTCAGTGGCTTTTCTTTGTTTTGTTTTCAAGTTTCTTACTGCCAGTGCATGTTCATTGTAGAAAAATCATAAAATATAGCTTTGCTCTAAGGGATAAAATGAATAATCACCTTCACTCAGCGTCACTCAAGGTACACATCTTTCTGGCTTCTTCCCCCTGCACTTGCATCGGGTATGGTGCACATGTTTTCGTTACGTAAATTGTATCTCTGTCTTCTAGCCTGTTTTTCTCATCTGAGAATACATTTCTATATTTTTCCTACAATTACCATTCTTAATAACATGGTAATGATGTGCCATTAATTACTTTAACTCATCCCCAGCTGATGGAGACTTGAGTTGTCTCTAGTTTTTGTCTATTATAAATATCACTGTGATGAACATCTCAGTATGTCATCCCTAATGAATTTTTGGAGTCACTTTTTTTTTTAAGATTTTTTAATTTATTTGACAGAGAGATAGCGAGAGCAGGAACATAAGCAGGGGGAGTGGGAGTGGGAGAGGGAGAAGTAGGCCTCCCGCCAAGCAGGGAGCCTCATGCGGGGCTGATCCCATGACCCGAACTGAAGGCAGACGCCTAATGACTGAGCCACCCAGGTGCCCTTTTTAAAAGATTTTACTTATTTATTTGAGAGAGACCGCGTGCACACACAAGTGTGGCGAGGGGCAGAGGGAGAGGGAGAAGCAGACTCTCCACTGAGCATGGGGCCCCGATGTAGGGCTTAATCCCAGGGCCCCAAGATCACGACCTGAGCCCAAGTTAGATTCTTAACCAACGGAACCACCCCGGCACCCCTTGGGGTCACTTTTAAAAAGAGATCCATCTTGACAGCTTTGGGCTAAGAATTCTAAAGAAAAACGCATCTTGGACGACTTGCATCTTTGTTCATTTGTTCATACGTATGTATGTTCATATGTACAAGAACTGGGTTCTAGATCCCCATCAGCTTTGACCAGGAGTGGTATTAGGCTGCTTCAGTTTGCTTAACCTGTTAATAAGGACGAGAATTTCAGGCTCCAACCAGATAACTGTTTTGTTGTGCAAGCAACTGCAGTTGACATCATGCCAGTCGGCTTTCCACCTTGGTCCTGATGGTTAGGGACCTCAGCCACCATCTAAGTACTAAATGCCCACTACTGCTTGCCCCGGACCATGTTACATGGAGTCACTGCCAAGGTGAGAAGCTGCACGTTGAGAATTAAAACAAGGCCACAGTTTGCAGCACCTGCCCTTTGGGATTCATGTTGGAAACTCCCTTTTTGCTTCCTCCACCTTGGCATCTCAAAAGGTGGAATATGTCCCTCCTTTGGTGGGTTTCTCATTGCACTTCAGTTCCAGCTATTCTAGAGCAGAAGTCAGAAACTCTGGTTCCCAGGCAGAGCCTGGCCCGCCACCTATTTTTGTAAATAAAGTTTTATTGGCACCCAGCCACGCCCCTTCGAATATGTATCATCTAAGGCTGCTTTAGTAGCTTTCCTGCTATAATGGCAGTGTTGTCACAGAGACCATCTGGCCCACGGATGAAAATGTTGTCTTTCCGGCCCATATATGTGATGGCGTTCGCTGACCCCTGAGCTAGGGGATGATAGAGAATCTCAAAGTGTCCTTTTTCTCTCCAAAGCCACTCAAGTGGAGTCATCTGCACACCTTGTGGTCTAGATTTTATTTATTTATTTATTTATTTATTTATTTATTTATTTATTTATTTATTTTAAAAGATTTTATTTATTTGAGAGAGAGGGGACACAAGCAGGGGCAGAGGGAGAGGGAGAAGCAGGCTCCCCGCCGAGCAGGGAGCCCAACGTGGGACTCGATCCCAGTACCCCGGGATCACGACCCGAGCCGAAGGCAGACGCCCAACAACTGAGCCACCCAGGCGCCCCGTGGTCTAGATTTTAATAAACACATTCGAATTTGCTGAAAATCGAGCCAGCTATTTTTAAGCATGAGCTTAAGACCAAAACGTAATTTTATTTCTCTTGATAGTTAGGGGAGAGATCCCTTCTGGGCTGCCTGTGATTCTCCCGAGCGGGAGTTCCTCTGCACCAGCAGCACAATGTGATAATGAGATCGGCTCTCCTCTGAATGGTTAGATTTGAAAAGCCAGCGAGGCTGTCATTAGTGAGGCATTTTCTTTTCATTTCAACTGTTTCATTATCTCCTTCTTAACCACATTTGTGTTTATGAAATATTTGACAAACCTCCCAATGTTTTCCTGTGTTGATGAAAGACGTACGCTGTTTGTGTATAAAGCAAAAGGCCTGGTCTTTTTAAAAGGAAGATGTAAATTCTACTTGGGGGTTGTTTTCATCATTCCCTTGATTTCCGTTATTGCACAGAGAAAAGTACTTGATCCGCTTTGAGCCCCTCTCTGAGAGTTGCTGGAAATGAGAGTTCGGTAATAGTGAGCATTCCTACATGGGAAATTGGGCATAGGGGTCTAGAGCAAGTTAGAAATTCAAAGTCCACATTTTTCAATTAGAAAACAGTAAGAACTAGTTCAGAGTATGGCTCTCTGGTTTTCCTTTTGACCAGTGGGTGGTTTTGGATCAGACCAGGGGTCAACAGACTGCTGCCCACATCTGGCTTGCCACCTGTCTTCATGGACCACAAGATGGAATGGTTTTCCCATTTTTATTTTTTTATTTTTATTTTTTTAAAGATTTTATTTATTTATTCATGAGAGACAGAGAGAGAGACAGAGGCAGAGGGAGAAGCAGGCTCCCCGCGGAGCAGGGAGTCCGATGCGGGACTCGATCCCAGGACCCTAGGATCATGACCTGAGCTGAAGGCAGATGCTTAACCGACTGAGCCACCCAGGCGTCCCAGTTTTCCCATTTTTAAATGGTTGAAAAAGGATCGAGAAGAAAAAGGAAATTCCAATTTCTTTGTCCATAAATAAAGTTTTATTGGAACGCTGCCACGCCCTTTCATTTACGTATTATCAGTGGCCGCTTTCGAGCTGCAAGGACACAATTGAGTCCTTGCGACAGAGACCATCTGGCCCACAAAACTAAACATACTTACTGTCTGACTCTACAGAATGGTTTGCTGACCCCTAGACTGGACAGTATTTTTTTTTTTTTTTTTTAAGACATTGGGTGGATCCTGTTCATCTGTATTTAGTTCACGTTATTGTTGCAGCCGTTAGTGATAAATGTGGGCCGTGAGGGTATTGGAGTATGCTGGGGGAGTTGCAGAAGTTATTTTAAGGGTAATAAAGCTTTGGTGCATTTAATTAGAGTTTACTGTGTGAATCAGAGAAAAACGTGGAAAAGATGGTTATGGTAGAACTAGCAAGATAAAGGTCTGGGCCAGATTACAAACATCTCTGTCCCTTACGGAGTGTTATGTGGGGCAGCGAATTGGCATCCTTGCACCTCTATGTCGTTGTCTGTGATGCAGGGACAGTGAGGAAGGGAGCCTTGACACGTACCTACAGCCTGCCTCACACGCGGCAGGCACTCAGTAAGTGGTAGTATTTTTGTTGCTGTCATTACTTTTATTAATAAAAGACCTTCTTGATGGGGTTTTGTGAAGCTTAAATGAGGTAGTGTCTTAGTCTGCTCAGGTCGCCATAACAAAGTGCCACAAGGCTGGGCGGCTTAAACAACAGACATTTATTTTTCTTACGGCTCTGGGGGCTGACAGTCCAAGATCAAGGTGCCAGCAGCGTTGGTTCCTGGTGAGGCCTTTGTCCTTGGCTTGCAAATGGCCTCCTTCTTGCTGTGCACTCAACATGGCCTTTCTTCTGCACATGCACATGCGCATCTCTCTTGTTATGAGGACACCGGCCATATTGGATCAGGGGTCCACCCTTATGACCTCAGTTAACCTGAGTTACCTCTCTAAAGGCCTTATCTGCACGTATGGTCACTTTGGGGGTTAAAACTTTAACATACGAATTTTTAGGGGACACCATGTGTCAGTCCATAACAGATGGTCAAAGGTCCGCCTTGTAGTAGAAACTCAGTAGCTGGGAGTTCATGTCCTTGGCTAATAGTATGCTTCGAGGCATTAAAAACTTCAGAGGACTCCCTGTGGTCTAGGAAAGCTGACCCTGACATCTGGTACAGAGGGATTTTGCTTCCTAATGTTTCGTAGTGAAGTATTTGTGTGGAAGTGGGGTGACGGCTTCGACCATAGCATCTAGACCTTGGTGTCCCCACGAATCCCCTAGGGGTCTTGGCAAGGTGTAGATCTGCCATAGCAGGAGGGCAGCGCAGGCTGTGGTTCTGCATTTCAACCAGCTCCCAGGTGACGTCCATGCTGCTGGTCCCCGGACCACACTTTGAGTAACGAGCCTGTCTGTTCAGTAGCCACTAGCCACGCATGGCTATTTCAGTTTCCCTGCCAGGTAACTAAAATTTAAAACCCCAGCCCCCCGAGTCATGAGTACTTTTCAAGTGCATTTCATGGCAGACACCTCTCATTGGGCAGCACTGCCTCCGAGAGAGAGAGAGTGTAAGTTTTCCTCGTCAGGGGCCTGCATGGGTTAAGTTGCCCCGGGGCTCCTGTGATGAATGCCCGCAAGCTTCATAGTTTCAAATAACACAGATTGATTATCTTACAGTTCTGGTAGTCAGAGGTCCAAAATGGGTCTCACTGGGCTAAAATCAAGGTGTTGCCAGAGCTGGTTTCTTCTGGAGGCTCTAGAGGAGAATCTGTTTCCTTGCTTTTTTGCTGCTTCTAGAAGCTGTCTGCATTCTTGGTTCGCGGCCTCTCCCTCTACCTTCCGAGCCAGCAGTGGTTGCGCAGGTCTCTGTCATGATGCCATCTGCTTCTGCTTGCTTCTTCCCCATTAAAGGACCCTTGTGATTACATTGGGCCCACCCACTGGGATCATCCAGAATCATCTCCCTATCTTAAGGTCAGCTGACTAGTCCCCTTACTTCCATCTGCAACCTCAGTTCTTTCTTGCCATGTATCGTCATTTATTTACAGGTTCCAAGAATTATGGCCAGGATATCTTTGGGGGTGGGGTGATGTTACTCGGCCTAACACAGGGCCAGACAGTAAATACTTTTGGCTTTGCGGACCGCACAGCCTCTTACTCAGCCATGCAACTCTGCTTTTGTAGCGTGAAAACAGCCAGAGACCGCACACATCCGACCAGGCCTTGCTTGTTGTGTGATTCTTTTTCCATCTTTAACTTACTTTCCTTTTTTTTTTAAGATTTTATTTATTTATTTGCGAGAGAGAGAGCGGGTGAGCACGAGCAGTGGGGAAGGGCAGAGAGAGAGGGAGAAGCATACTCCCTGCTGAGCAGGGAGCTTGATGCGGGGCTTGATCACAGCACCCTGGGATCATGACCTGAGCCGAAGGCAGTCTCTCTACCAACTGAGCGACCCAGGCGCCCCATCTTTAACTTTCTTATGGAAAATTGTGAACACACAAAAAGGTAGACTAGTGCTATGATTTCCCGTGCACGCATCAGGCTGTGGTTTTTAAATCTTATTTTATACTTTGCTGTACTTGACTGATTATTCACACCAAACATCTATTACTCTTGTAATCAGGAAAGAAGAAAAACACACAAAGATGGAAGCATCAGAGCATCTAGGAAATGTGAGGAAAACCACCACCACCACGTCTTGAGGTTAAAAAGGAAAAAGGCACAAACAGAGCTTCTGGAACATTTGTCCTTTTCCGTACTCCTCTTCCATGAGCTGGGAATTCGGCAGAGCTCGGGATGTTCTCAGGGCAAGTGGCAGCTCCAGTTAGATGGGCTGTCTGTCGGTCAGACCTTTTCCAAATAGGATATCTGCTTGCTCATGTCTCCTGAACTCTCTTTGTGACACTTTATTGAGGGAGAGAAGAAAATCTCATCCAAGTGGTTTGGTGCAATCATCCAGTTCTGAGATTCATGTTAAGACAGGTGAACTATGTAGTTGCCAGGGTGATGTGGGGAGGGAGCCCCGGCCATGGCAAGGGTGGGGGGTGCAGTTGGGGGACACATGGTTCCCTGGTTTTACCACTTTGCATCCAGATTTTACTCTCACTTGGGAGTCCGTGGGCCTCAACCACCTAGGAGAGCACACTGCATGTTCAGGAAAGGCCAGGAGGAATTTTGATAAATGGCTTTGTCTTGTGCATATGTGTTTGTGTGTGTGTGTAAGAGAGAGGCGTGTGTGCACAAGTATGTGTGACGTGGGCTATGCGTATGGCATGTGTCAGCTGAGTTTGTGGCCTGTGTGTTGTGTGTGGTGTATGATGTGTGCATCGCACACATGTCATGTGCTCTAGGAGCTGTGGTGTGTGTGTTTGAGATGGTGCGTGAAGTGCACGTGTTGTGCAGTGTGTCTGTGTGCAGTGCGTTGTGTGTTACCCACGCTGTTTGTGGAGCTGGCGTGTGGTGTCTGTGGTGTGTGTGCCGTTAGAGGTGGGATTGGTTTTTTTTTTTTAAAGACTTATTTATTTGACAGAGCGAGCACAAGCTGGGAGAGCAGCAGGCAGAGGGAGAGGCTCTGCAGGGAGCCCGACGTGGGGCTCCATCTGGGACCCTGGGATCACGACCCGAGGCGAAGGCAGACACCTAACTGACTGAGCCACCCAGGCGCCCCTGGGGTTTTTTCTTTTTTTTTTTTAAGATTTTATTTATTTTTTAGAGAGCGAGCGAGAGAGAAACAGCATGAGAGGGGAGAGGGTCAGAGGGAGAAGCAGGCTCCCCGCTGAGCCGGGAGCCCGATGTGGGACTCGATCCCAGGACCCTGGGATCATGACCTGAGCCGAAGGCAGACGCTTAACCATCTGAGCCACCCAGGCGCCCGGGTTCTTTCTTGAACTGCCCTTTATCTCTTGCTACATGAACAGAAGTCAAAGTGCTCGTGCCAGGGCTTTCCACGCATAACCTTGATGTTTTGGCACAACAAGGGGTGACCAAAGTATCGCCGCTGTCCCATGTTTCCCGATGAGGAAATTGAGGCCAGTCCAGGGAAGTGACTTGCCCGAAGTCCCCGGGGTCATCAGCAGAGCTGGCACGAAAGCCTGGTCCCCCGACTCTTCTCCGATGCTGCCGCACTCCCACCCGCACTCCCACCTTTATTTGGGCTCTACCACCCGTTTGCTGGCGTGGATTACAAAAGCATGTGGCTCGTGCCCAGCACACCTGGGAGACCTGTCCAGAAGCCTGGGGCACCAGAGCCAGTTCCAAAATCGGAACTTCTCTTGCTTTCCAGCAGCACGTGCTGTATATGCCACGACGGCCCGAGGCATCTGGGCTAGCGTTCACTCGTCAGAGTAATCTGCAGCAACCCAGCCTAACGTTTGCAACAGAGCTGGGCCAGCAGAGACTGAACGGCCTCGGACAAGCTTTGCCAACCAAATGGGTCTGATGCAAAGTTAAAGAAATTTTTTGGCCTTTTCGAGCTGTGGGGTTTGGGAACGGCGGGGAGGGGGTCGTGGGCCTGCGCTCTGAGTCCCTGCCTTGTCCCTCACTTGCCAGCGATGTTGGGGACAGGTGTTTGCTCCTATTTGTGCAGCAGTTTCTCTGTCTGCGACCCCAATGGCTTCCGACCCAGTGTTGCCAGGAGCTGACACCACTTCTCTCTGTGTAGCCTGTAGTGTTTGTAGGAAATACTTTCTGGATCATATCACCTCTCTTCACATCACTTTCTGTGTTGAGGCTACAACACAGCCTTTGTTTCTGAGACATTTCCATTGGCCAGTTGGGGATCTTTTACTGTGGCTCCCATCTGCTTCTGTCGGCTCCTGGTGGCTTTTTGACATCAGTCCCTTGGCCCTGGTCTGCTCCTTGGGGAAATGGCTTGTACCTGATTTGGTTCATGTGTTCTCTCTGCCAGTCTGGGAACCCTGAGCTGTGGGCCAGAGTCGTCATCGTGTCCAAAATCCAGTCACATGACTTTAGCCAGATCCCTCCTCTGAGGAACAAGGACCAGGTCACCTGGTTGGGTAGTGAGGTGAGCAGTGTGACAGGAGGGGAGGAAACTCACTCCTAGGGATGGTGAGGAATAAGGCTGGCCAGGAACATGGGCAGTGTGTATGCGTGCGATGTGTGGTGTATGACAAGGGGGCCTCACAAGGCCAAAGGCTTAAGTGAGATGAAGTGGGAGGCCCCTGAGTTTTTAGAGCAGGGGACAAGATCCAAACCGTGTCAGCAAGAGAGCTGTCTGGAGCAGAAAAAGCTACAAGAGATTGATACTTTATCCTGCAATTCCTTTACTGAGGAAGAAAGGATTATCTTATTTCTGGAGACGTTTAAATAAAATGTTTATCAAAGTCATTCACTAGAGAATTAGAACAGTTGCTGATTTTATTTCTTTGCTTCATAAGGGTTACTGTGTGAACATAAAAATTCATTAAGCGAAATAATAGCCTCTAATCTAACAATGATTTAGATCACTTGATTGAATGATGAGATTATTTGAACATTTCAAAAACACTACTTTAGCAAGTTTTTGGAGGTCTTTTTTTTTTAAAGATTTTTTATTTATTTATTTGACAGAGAGAGACATAGCGAGAGTAGGAACACAAGCAGGGGGAGTGGGAGAGGGAGAAGCAGGCTTCCCGCTGAGCAGGGAGCCCGATGTGGGACTCGATCCCAGGACCCTGGGATCATGACCTGAGCCGAAGGCAGACGCTTAACGACTGAGCCACCCAGGAGCCCTGGAGGTCTTTAAAAAAAAAAAAAAAAAAAAGGCAAGAAGAATAGTTTTATGACTACAAACCAAAAACAGACAAAATTGCTTTTACCGTTTCCCAACCGTATTACCTGGTCTGTCTTCTGAAAATTAAAGAGATCGATAGCAATGTTCCCGTAGCTACTAGGAAAAAAAGCATGGGCCACAGTGGGGAAAGTGGAATCAAAAGAGAGACAGAGTGATCCTTTATTTTCTTTGTGTGTATGTGTGTGTGTGTTAAGATGGTGTGCACTGTGTTGTTTTTATGTATGATAATTCATTACCCCTGTACTTAGCTGAAGGTCAGCATAATACAGGAGATAATTAAAGCTTAAAAGAAAATAAGCTGCCTGGACATGTGTGTGCCGCAGATCGGAGGAGAGAACTGTCAGCAGGCGAGAAGGTTGGGACAGGGCACGGGTTCAGGAGAGGACAGAAACGGGACACATGGCCAAAGACAAACACCAGGCGGGAGGAGCCCAGGAGTTAAGGAGCCATGAGGGCGGGAGAGCATGGTCCAGAATCAGAAGGATCCAGCCTGGAATCCCAGCTGTACCATTGGGGGCGAAGGGGCCATGTGTGTCTCCTCACTGTCTGACCTCAGGGTCTTCCTCGTGTGTCACTTGAGGATTATGTTAGCAACTGCATCTCTGTTAGCTAGTACTGAATAACAAATGACCCCAGTACGAAGTGGCTTAAAACCTCTATTATTGAGTCACAGTTCTGTGGGCAGGAAATTGGATGGGGCAAAGTGGGGCTGGCTCTGAGCCCTAAGGGCTTCTCAGCTTGCATGCCTGGCACCTCACCCAGGGCATCCCAGCCTGCTGGGGTTAGGCATATGGGGCTCAGGATTCTCTGTCGCCGGGAACCTTGTTCTCCTTCACAGAGGCCTTCACACCTCTTTCTGAGTGGCCCTACAGCACTGTCACTAGATTCTGACGTGGTAGCTCCCTGCCCCCAGGTCTTCAAAGGTGGATGTTGCCAGGCTGCTGCTCTTTCTCTTTCATTTCTTCTCATTCCTTACGGCCGAATACTATTCCAGCCTGTGGTTGTACATTTCATTCATCTGTGCACCAGTTGATGGACATCTGGTGTTTGTACCTTGCACCTATTAATAGTCCTGCTGTGGACATTTACCTGTACAAGTCTCTGAGTGTAGGTGTTCAGTTTTCTTGGCGAGATTGATAGGAGTGGATTTGCTGAATTGGGTGGTAACAGCTAGGCCTTCTTGAAGCTTCAGCCTGGACCAGGCGGAGCATGGTTCCACTGCATTCTCTAAAGCAAATTGTAGCCGCCCCCCTATCCCCCGAGTCAAGAGGAGAGGCTGACAAGGGCCTGACCGCCCTGCCCAGAGGGGTTCATCTGAGTCCTCAGGTAAAGCCCTCAGCATGCAACCTGACACGCAGTAGGTACTCAATAAATGTTGTTCTCTTTATTACTAAGAATAATACAAAACTGGGGCAGTAGGTAAAACACAGACTGTTAGGACTTAGATGGACATCCATCAGTAGGCCTGACAGCAAATCCCTGTTCAGGATTTTGGAGATTATGGGCACGCTTCAGATTAGCAGTATCCAAGTCAGAAGATGACAACTAGAGGCTACTAGAGGTCAGAATAACCCCAGCACTGGATGAGAAGAGGAGGCGGCGCCGCGTGTTCATTCTAGCAAATGTGGAACTTCAGGGATGAGTGTCAGAAGAAAAATCACCTGTTATCCTGCCTGTCAGTGATAACTACTGTAAATATTTTGGCTGCTTTCCTTCCAGTATTTTTTCTATGCATCAGGTGCATTAAGTAGACATACTTTTATAAAACCAAAATTAAGATCGTAATGTATATGGTTTATATACTACATTTGAACATTTAATACGAAATTGGGAGCATTCTGTGTTGTTCAATACTGATTTCAATGGTTAAGATTATCATCTGTCTTTCTATATCTAGATCCTTTTATTTATGTATTTTTGAAGCATAATGTCCAGCTTTGTGAATTTCTACATGTTGTGTACACCCATAAGACAAGACCACTACCCAAGTGGAATTATAGAATCCCGTGGTCCCCTCCTGTCCATAACCTTCCCGTTTACACGAATCGACTCCCTAATTTATTTATATACTTTCCTTTTCCTGAACACTTGGGTTGCTTCCAATCGTTTGCCCTTACAAATGATGCTGCTGTCTACTTCCCCGTATGTACACGTTTGTCTGCATCTGATTGCTTTCTTTGGATAAATTTCTAGAAGTTGGGAAATACTGGGGCAAAGGGTATGAACATACGGAAATGCTGTCAACGATCTTTCTTGGTACTCCTGGCTCCAGAGTGGCTTTGCCCTCCTTGGTGCACCTGCACTGCTTGGACAATACAGTTTACAGCAGTGTCTTACTGGGCTCCCAACCTGTTTCCAGTGCTTGGAAATTTCAGAACTAGATCCTCAGGAGCAGGCTTTGTGCCTCTTAATGTGCCTTTGTATCCCCCTACTTGAAGACACAGTAAAATTATTTTGAGTTCTCTTGTCTGTCTTTGGAGCCCTTCCTAAAAGCAGTGACGTTTCAGGGGCTGTTCAAAACCAATTGAAATTTTTTTCGCTTTTAGAATAAATAGGACTTGCTGCAGAGCCAAGCGGAACTCTGAAACCCATCTCTAGGTACATCTGAGATCATCAATAGGGTTGAATGAGTTAATATATGAGAGTGTTTTTAAAAAATTCCCACCAGATGTTAAATTCAGAGCAAACAAATTGGTCAAAGTGGGGTGGTGGTTTGCTCGCCTTCATTCTTCCTATTAGTCACCGAAGCCCTCACATACTTTAATGGGGTAAGTCCAGTCACTTTCTTGCCTTTGAATTGCCCAACTCCCAGGGGTGTAGGTGTCTAAGGGGTCACTTTCTGAATGAATGAGTCTGCCTGGTGGGTCCCTGCTGTTGCTCCTTGCCACCATGTGGTGTCGCTGTTGAAGACTGGTCCTAAGCAGTTGTGGGAGCTGGCCTGCTCACAGCTTCCTTCTGTGATGCCCTTGCCTATTGGGCTTGAGCCACTGCAATTCATTGAGGGAGAACGAGCCCACACCCTCACTGCCAAGCCTGCTGAGGATGCTCTGCACCCAGGCTCCTAAAACTACCTTCCTGCCACTTCCCATGGCAAGAGCCAAGTCATGGACTCAGAGCCTCTTACCTTTTGGGGGGCCACCTCACTAGGAGGTAAGACAGCCTTTTCAGGGACAAAATATCTTGTCCTTTCAGGATAGGGGGGTGGATGTTCTCTGGACCTAGCTAATTTAAAGGGCACGTTGCTGGGGAAGAACCATTACAAGAGGATTTACCTTGAGCCCCACCTTTGTATAACTGATAGGTGCCATTTCAAGTATCTCTTCCTTGAAGCAGAAGGTCTTGCCAGGTGAACTGCAGTTATCTATCCTGCATCTAAGAGAAGCTAACGTTTTCAAGACTCCCATTGAATGCCGATGTGATTTAATTTTTACCACTACATATATATATGTTAAATGTGGAATAACACTATATTCTAGTGCCCACACTCTCAGGGCACACATGTAGACACAGTCTTAGATATATATATATATATATATATATCTGTGTCTATGTGCATCTTAATGTCTTTACAGTATATTTAATATTTCATTCATTTGTTAAATATTTATGGAGCCCCACTTGTGCCACATCTATGGAGCTGAACTGCATACCTATGTCTGGGTATGTGTATACAGCTGGCCATGCAGAACTCAGTCATCTTAATGTTGCTTCTTAGTTTAAAAAGATCAGGTAAGTTGAGTGCTTTCCAAATCTTTCTTAAACGACCTGACCCATGCAAAACAAATTGCTTCTGTCTGTGATCCTTGATTAAAAAAATAAGATCTTGAACACTTGAGTTAGAAATTAAAAGAAAGGCAGGACCAGAATATGCTTGGGGGAGAGCTTGTTTATTTTGCTTATCTAAAGTGAGATAAAGAGTATCTCCAAATGGGCTGGTTTCCAACCTGGACCATGTACACAAAGCACCTCATTCTAGGAGAGTTAGTGAGTAAATTAAAGAGAAGTATTTTGCCCATGTTTATTTTCTCCTACAAGTGTGATGTAAAACTTTTCACATGTCCAGAAGGAAGCAGCCACAACCACGTGCAGAAACAGCCGTTTTTGCAAATAAAAATGCTTCCCAGAAGCATGACAAATGCAAGACTAACAGGTGTAGCACAGATCCAAGGCGCGCGTGTGGTTCTCATCAGCTGCCTCCCTCCTGTTTTAAATCTAGGTCTTCCTGTAACAACAAAAAAAGTTATTTCTCCCGAGGCTGCAGCTAATAATCCACTCAGCCTGCCTTCTCACCCCTTCTCATAACAGTATTCCTAACAGGGCTTCCGGAGGGAGCGGAGAGCAGTAGAAGAGGGCAGTAAGGTGGGGGTGGGGAAGGAGGCTCCTTAGGCTTGACATTTAACAATTCTGGGTTTGACCTAGAACTCTGGGTGACCTTGGGCCTCAATTCCCTCCTTTTGTGAAAGGTTTTGTTCAGATAATGAGGGTTTCAGTTTTCCAGAACCTCCACGCAAAGCAGGGTGGGTCTTTTAAACCAGTGGTTCTCAAGAGGGGACGTTCTGCCCGACAGGGGACATCTGGCAATGACTGGGCATTTTTGGTTGACCTGAATGGAGGGGAGAGTGCTACTGGCGTTTAGTGGGTAGAGACCCAGGATGCTGAATATCCTAAAATGCGCAAGACAGCCCCCGCGACAGTGATCCAGCCCCAAATGCCATTGGTGCCCAGGATGAGAAACCCTGGCGTTGACACAGGTTTGCAACCCTGGGGTCGGTGGGCTCACGGGGCTGGCTTTGGGGCTTTCCCCAAAGCTGGCGTGACGGCTCCCCCGAGAGGCGCTTTGCGGTCTCATGTTTTCGTGATCCCAGCACGCCAAGCGCTGCAGACCCCCGCCCTGCACCCCCTCCTTCTGGAAGGGTGGAGCGGCCCCTCGCGCCCCTGAGATGACCCTTCCGCGCACATTATCACAACATGGACTTGTCTCCCTCGCCCCCAGGAACGGCGATCAAGGGGCTGAGGACCCCCGGCTCGGAAAACTTGGCAGCTTCTCCCGCGACTCCCATCACCTCCGTCGGTACGGGGAAGGCTTTTCTCCCCAATGAGGAGACCTTCTGCCGCCCCCCCACCCTGAGGCGGCCGCCTGGAGCGCCCAGGTTCAAGGACTCGGCGCGCACCGCGCGTTTCCGTCGGAAACCTCAGTTCCCCACAGCCCAGCCGGGGGCGGGGCCCCCGGCGGCGGCCGTTGCCCCGCCCAACCGCCTCCCAACGGCTCCCTCCGCCGGGGGTGGGCGGTGGACCTGTGCGCATGCGCGCGCATGCGTGAGGGTGCGGGGCGGGGCTCGCGCGCGGCCCCGCCCAGGCCCGGCGTCTCCACCCGCCCCATCTCCCAACCTCCTCAGCGTGGCGCCGACGCTGCGTGCGGCGCGGGTTACCCAGAGTGCTCCGCGCGGGGGCAGCTCACTGGAGTTTGGTTCTCGAGGCGGCGGCAGCAGCGGCGGCGGCTCCGGTGGCTCCTCCTCCTCCTCTGGTGGCGGTGGCGCCCCGGGCCCGAGCCCCGGCTCCCCTCTCCGCCACCCCGCGCGCCCCCTCCTCCCCCGGCGCCGCGGGGAACATGAGGCTCCGCTCCCGGAGGCCGGCGAGTGAGTGACCCCCGTCCCCCGCCTCAGCCCGCCCGCCCGCTGGCCCGGCCGCTCCCCCCCGCCTCGCCCAGGCAATGACAGCGGCTCCGGCGTCTCCGCAGCAGATCAGGGACCGGCTGCTGCAGGCCATCGACCCCCAGAGCAACGTAAGTACCCGCTGCGCGGGCCGGGACGGAGGCCGCGTGGGCCCGGGACCCTCCCCCTCCCTAATGCCCCTCGCCCGCCGGGCTCCAGGGAACCCGCCCGACGCCCACCGACCCCCGAGGGCCGCTGCCATCCCGGTCTCTCGCCCCACGGGCCCGAGCCGGGGGCAGGTCGGGCAGTCTGGCGGCGCTCGGTACGTGAGGCCGAGGCTTCCGTGCGGCCTGGGCGGAGGGAGCAGACGGGAGCTGAGGCCAGAGCTTTCCCTTCTTTCTCGCTCCAGCTCTACGACCCTTGCTGCTTCTGACGGAGCTCACCCGCCTTGCCCTTCCCCGGGGACTCGCGACCCCCGGGAAGTCCTCCCGGCGTGGGGGGAGGGGAGGGAGAAAGGCTGTGGAGCAACTGGTGTCCGGGGTATGACTCGGGAGCCTGTGCCGCCTGTGTCTCGGCCTTCTGGGTGATCAGGGAAGTCTTCCTTCCCTCTTCTCCCGGCTGGAAGCACCTTCCTGGCTTCAGAGGGAACCCCCCTGGTTACTTTGTCCTTAGCCGGGTGCCCAGGGCGCGTGGAGAGTCCCCCCTTGGTTCTGGGAGTGGACATGCCTTTGCCGGATCCCTCCTGGGATCGCTGCTGACGGTAGATGATTTTGGGGAGGGAGGGATCCTTCCTGTTACCTTTTTGGGCCTAAATGCTCATTGCGTCTCTGATCAACCCAGAGCCCCGCTTTTTGGTGTGAATTAGAGGTGATTATTTTGTCTCCTGTTCCTTCAAGAGCCCTCCTTCGGCTCTCCCTTCCCCTACCTGAGCGTCCCAGCTTGGTGGTTTGTCACCTAGACGGTCAGGGTTAACCCCAGGTTGTTGCTTTCTCAGATGGCCCTCCACCTAGGCTACTGTTTGCAGAGGGATCTCCTCTGCCCCCCTTCGTGTGTGTAGGGGAAGACTCATGGTGTTCTCATATTTTCTCCAAGGGATTGTTGGCAGTAGGGGTCATTTTCCCCTGTGGCAGGAGCAGGTTGAGCAATAGGAAGATGTTGTGGCATCCAGGTATGAAGTGAGCCCCTGCATTTGCTGGGAGACCAGGAAGTGGCCATTGAGATCACTTTTTAATATGCTGGGATCGAAGAAAAAAATTGTCTTGGGCCAGGTAACTCAGCTATCTCTCACTGTAGCGTTTTTGTTTTCCCTTATGTGAGTTTGACTAATTACTCTTAGCACTATGCTTTAAGCTTGGTATTTTTGGAGTAACTCACATTGGCTTGTACAATTTTGGTAGAAATTGAGGAGTTATGGTCTTTGTAAGACTCTGATTTTTGTATCACAAGTAATCCTGTTATCCTTTGTCTTCAGGCCCCATTAAGATTAACTTAGTGGTAACTGTTTTTAACAAACGTATACGTTTTTGTTTTGACTTTGGGGATGGAGTAGACACAAGCTATATAAAACCTTTCCGAATTTTTTGCAGTAACTGGTGCTGCCGCGGTTCCCAAGATTGAAATATTAGAGGATAAAACAAGTGACATGAGAAATGTAACCAGGGTGACTTTTCCATCTTTTGTCCAGAGTATAACTTCTTGAATTCCACGTGCTTGTTTGCCTTCGGGAGAATCTGAGAGGTTGCTGAGATATTAGCACTGATCCTTAATGCCACCTAGGAGAGCTTTGGGATCAGGAGTTGCTTTGACAGGCGGTCACGATGTTGTAGTTAGGTGGAGCAGTAACCTCAGGGGTTCCAGTGTTGTGTAAGGCTGTAATCTAAAGGGTTCCTAGGGGGAGAGGAAGGAGAGGAGGAAGGGGGGTTAGCCAGAAGAGGGAGAAGGAAACAAATCTCAGGTTTTTGTATTTTAGTGTGTGCACATATGTTACATTCATAGAAGCCCATAGTTGTTTTCATGGCATGGGGTTCACATTTCATATGGTTTGTTTTGGGGGACTCCATCACTAATGGGTGTGCATAGTGTTCTAATATAAGTGTGGTGGATGGAATTGGGAAACTGTCTGAATATGAGCGATGAAGAAAGTGCCTCCTTTAAATGCCGCCGTTGCCAGTAACCATCCGTGAGCATTGTTAAGAACCTTTTGACAGGAGTGTGGCAAGCCCCATATAGGAACTGGAGCCATGGCAGAACAGGTTACTGGCAGAGGTGGTGCGACCATAGTTCTGCAGTTTATCTGGATTGACCTGGGCTCAGGCGAGAGTGAAGTAGCTCCAAGAAGGCATTGGTGGCGCACAGCTGCTTTTCTCTACCTTGCCCAATTGTGAACTCCACTTTGGGATAGTTAGTTGACACATATTTAAGATGCTCATGGAAAAAAAAATGGGGACAGTGTTGAAGAGCCAACACTAAAATTAAACCTCTTCTGAGAAAAGCGACAGAGAATTGTGTCATGTAATGCTTACCTTTATGGGCATGCAATTATGGTTAACAAACTTAGCTTTTGCTTGAAAAATCAATGTCAGGCAGCTGACCTAATATCCACAAGTATCTGAGAAGTTAGCGAAGTAACAAAGTAACTGATCATCTCCTTGACAAAGGAGTTCTTGAGAGGAAAGTTGTCTCTATGTTCTCAATTGGAGCCTCTAGAGTATTTGAATTTTTATAACAGCAGGCCTCTGAGTTAATAATTTCTGCCAACTCAGTAATAAAGTAAATCTTCTACACTCCTTTTCAAAAAGCAGCTAACAGTTTTTTCAGAACAATCTAAGCCTTACCCTCCTTGTGGCTATGTCAGCCAGGGTGTTGAAAATCTGTGAAGTGCAGTTTGTGCGTTTGTCCCAGCTTAATCTTGGTGGATAGAGTTGAGGGCTGTGTCTTCCTTCTGCCCAGAAATTGGAGTCCGTCCACCCAAGCACAGTCTCCTCAGCAGATGATTAGGTTCTTGTCTGTATTGGACACTCATTATTTCATGGAGGTTCAGGCTTTGTTTTCCTGACCAAAATGTGGGCTTCATGAGCATGGTTTGTTTCTTTTTCTCTAGAGCAGAAGGGTTGGATGCTTTAGAGTGCTAAGTGCTGGTTAAACTGACTGAACCCTAGAATCCTTCTTGGGCCTATGAAGCCCGTGACTTTTATATGTGCTGAAGTTCAGTCTTGGAGTATTTTAATTCAGAACTCTCTAGAACCGTGAAGGACACGGATGTTAGTCCGGCATCTGAGGATAGGTCTGACAGACGGTGGAGTGGGTACTGCATCCCCATAACAAGTTGAATAATGGCACAAGGCAGGCCTTGCTCAAAGCAGGTGAGCATCTCTGCAATCAGACCAGAGAGAGGCCAGAGAAGGCACTGAGGGGAAAAAGGGACTTGAACTTGCCAAAGATGTCTGTATAAAGGCCTCCCAGTGGTCAGGCTCTCCAGCAGGAAACTTCAGAAACTACTTTGTTTCTCACAGTTATGCAGACATCAGGCACAAATGGGAGGTGGTCAGAGGCCAAGGGGCCTCTACAGAGAGACACACAAGGAATGATGATTTTCCCACCTGGGAATTTGAAGATTCAGATGTTGCCTAGCTTCTCTGGGCTGCAGGGTCCTTGTCTGCAAAGTGGGACTGGGAACTGGTATGTGCACCCATAAAGCTCCTTCCAGATCCAGGGTTCAGATTCTAACATGAATTGTTTTAAAAGTTTTTTCTTTTAATGCAAGGTGTATTCTGTGAACTTCTTAAAATAACAAAATTCTAACGGAACTTGACACAGAGGTATATACTTTACGTGATTTTGCAGCACGTCAGCAGGGTCTCCTGCTTCCCCCCAGCAGCCCTGTAAGGGAGGTGGAGTGAGCAGCCGGTCTCCCCTTCCTGCAGGTGCAGAAGCCAACAGCATGATGACAGTCGGTGCTGTTTAGTGGGTGCCTCCTGTGGCCAGGAGAGGACAAGATGCTTTTGTTTCTGCTGACTTCATTTGGGGTGACTGCCCTAAAGTTAGGGACTTACCCAAAGTTTAACTGACTGTTTCTAACTCTTAATGTCACTACACTGCCCTCAAAGGTGGAGAGATGGCTTCAGAAGAGGCCCGAGAGGCAGTGTTCTTGAGCTGGTAAGAAAAGATGCGGGGAGCCTTTTCTGTCCCACATAAGTTCATATGAGATTACAAATTGGTTTAGATTTACCTGTGATAGATCTAACAGGTTGATGATATTAGCCTGTCCTGGAAACATCTTAAGGTTTCTGGCAGGGACAGAATCCTGGGCCAGACCATACCGTGGTGTGGCAACTGCCAACTGATAATGGAACTTTTCATAAGTCTTGTATGCCAGTTTTGTTTTTTGCTTCAAGATTATAGCACTTATGATGTTAACTTGAAATACTGTTGATCCTGCCGAAAGGAGGATTGTTAAAAATTATAAAAAGGAAGGCTGTAGGTTCTAATTCTCTCCAACATGTTAGAGCATATAAAATCTAAACGTGTGTTGGGGCGCCTGGGTGGCTCAGTCGGTTAAGCGACTGCCTTCGGCTCAGGTCATGATCCTGGAGTCCCTGGTTCGAGTCCCGCATCGGGCTCCCTGCTCGGCAGGGAGCCTGCTTCTCCCTCTGACCCTCCCCCCTCTCATGTGCTCTCTCTCTCTCTCTCATTCTGTCTCAAATAAATAAATAAAATCTTAAAAAAAAAAAATCTAAACGTGTGTATGTTCTCTGATCACTCTGGTTGCCCAAATGCAATGACGTTCCTGTCTTTGCTCTTTATATGTGGCCAGGATGTCTGAAAAGAGCAGTGTGGCATTTTATGACTTTGGGACAGGCAGGTAACAAGTGTCACTTGTGAAGCAGGTGTAAGTCCTTGTTCTGACTCACTCTCTTCCTCAGAAGAAGGTGGATTTTACATTCTGTCTTCGCAGAGGTCTCCTGGTGGTCCTCAGAAGTGGCTTTAGTTGTAATCAGAGAATGTTGTCCTGGCTGGAAGTCACAGAGGCCTGGAGGACTGTTTAAGGTCAGCTTGTGGGAAGGGGCCTTTGTCTTTTTTTTTAAGATTTTATTTATTTATTTGAGAGAGAGAGAGAGCATGAGAGGGGGGAGGGTCAGAGGGAGAAGCAGACTCCCCGCCGAGCAGGGAGCCCGACGTGGGACTCGATCCCAGGACTCCAGGATCATGACCTGAGCCGAAGGCAGTCGCTCAAACCAACTGAGCTACCCAGGCGCCCAAGGGGCCTTTGTCTTGATATAGATGTGAAAAGGCTCCATGGTCACCTGGGCTCAAGATGTTGCTGTGAGTGGCAGGACATGCACTCAAGGGTGCCAGCCTTGGGGTTAGGTGAAGGAGCGGTGCCTCAGTTTTGGTGTCTGTTTAAGCATCTTCTCAGAGCTCCAGTTGAACCAGAACCAGAACTCAGTCCGATTCCTAGGTGACTGCAGTTCTCTGGGCAGGTCTCTGCCTAGCCCCCACCCTAAATCGCCTTCTGGAAGCTGGGGGCTTTGTCTCTGTCAGTAGAAGTTGTGCCTTTTTCTCCCCCCTTGTGCTGTCCTTAGTCTATCTGGTCCCTTTGGGACCCCTCAGCTGGTTGTTGGAATGGGGGACTGAGTTTGTGGTCTGGCGAGTGACTGCATAGGCAGTGCATTTTTAGCCTGGCCTTTCTAGTGCCCACACTCCTCCTGTTCACTCTCAGGGCACACATGTGGAACTGAGCAAGTATTGACGTGGGGATTCCATGAACTAGAGGGTATTTCCTGCATAAGGAAGACATACCAATATTCTGCATGTGCAGGTTAATAGTGGTCTCTGAATTCCAGGTCTGGGGAGGCCATACACTAACATCTCAGTCACCAACTGATACACACTGTTTATGGAGAAATCTGGTAAAACTAAAAAAGGTGGCTCAGCAGTTGAATAAACATTTCTAGCAATTGCTTATGGTTTTGGCTGTGGGGGGTTCAGACCTGGAGGTGCCCAGCCCCTGCCCTCGAGGGACCTGGAACAGGAAGAGAATGTGCACATGGGCAGTCTGGGGTGGGGTAGAGCTTGGGGGTGGGCAGGGGTGGTCTTACAGGGCTACAGCTCTTAGGTCTAAATGGAACAGTTCTTCGCTTGTCTTATTCAGAGGTAGTTCAGAATTTTGAGGAGCATGAAATGACTTCTAGAACACTTCATAATTTGAGTTTTCAGAATGATAAGTTTTAGAGTCAGATGCAGGAAGTCTGTTCTTGGTTCGTCTCTG